TTTTATGACATTTCAAATAGGGCTCCTAGAAATGCCTGCTAATATTGTAATTTTGGTTGATGCCTTTATGATGTTCGGTATGTAAGCCTGAAGGCTATTACTTTACTGTCTCAGTTGTTATGTGAATAAGACTGACATGATTTTAGGACTTCTTGAATTAGAGAATCTGGATAAATACATTTAAAATAAACAATCTTGCTTTTTCTAACCTGGCATCCTCCAGATATGCTTGGCCTGCTTCTCAGCCACTGGCAAATCCCTCCAAACATTTCTGGAAGTTGTGATGCTGACACATCTGGAGACGCATTCAACTGGAGAAGGCTATTATATAGTGCATTATATTAACCAACCCTAAATAATATATTGTTATTTAAACCCCTGTAATGTAGGAGTTATAATGTTAAATAAGAATCAGGTAGAGTTTCAAATACCTTATTAATTTATATACAATTATTACGCATGCTTTTTCAGCCTGTGCAATCCCCGAAGTGTTGCCACACATCTAATCAACCTATCCATTAAAAAAAACCTAGTTTCAAAAACCAACAGCATCAAAAGCTGAAGATTGGCCATTCTAAAAAGAACAAATCTAAGTCACTCTTTCTGAAAAACAAAAAGGACAAATGAATCATTTCTGTCAGGAGATTTCAGACTCTAGGCCAAATTTCTTGAACCTGGTGTCCTCCAGATGTGTGGAATTATTGCCAGAAGTAACAGCCAGGATGCCTGTGGAGGAAACAGTTGTCCCGTCATCCTGGCCTGTGATGCCTGTTCCCTTCCCCAAGAAACACGTGAGGACTGGAAAAACCCTCCTCTGAGATTCATCCCCTTTCTCATCTTGGCACCAAGAACTTAAGAGGGATGTGATCTTGAGAAGGACCCACATTTTAGGCACTCAGTTTGAATTACTTGAAGCCACGAACTCTTGGATTCTTTTTTTCTTCTACTGAGAAATTGCACAGCAGCCAAAAGCTGTATTTCCTGCCCACCTCAGATATAGGCACAGTTTAGATTTTCATCCTCACCTTAACAAAGACATCTGAAGTCCTATTCCCTTTCCCTGCTTCTGTGTATGGTTTCCAAGTGGAAAACATCACCTGCAGAATTCAAGGGCTTGAAATATTGTGAAGTTAAATAAAAAACAGAACAGCAAAGAATCCAATGATCTGATTCAGAATAAAATATGCTAGACTCTTTACATGGCCTTAAACATGTCTACTTTTCTGTAATTTCCAAAATAGCTGGGCCCACAAAGTCAGTATGATGCAGCTCATATACAGTAACTACAAATGCTATCTTTATTTTTTAAAAATAAAGAAGGCAACCATAGTACCCAGTCCAGCTTGGCTTCATAGCAGACAAAGGATTAAAGACCCCTTGCCTTGCATTAGGATTCTGAGCCAGATGGGAAAATAAGCTTCATGTTATGTGCAGTGTTTCAATCGTAGTAATTAAAAGTATCCACTCAGATATTATTTGCTCCAGGAGAAAAACTGCCACCAATGCTAATGTTAGCTGTTATCCTAGAATAAACAGGATTCTAGAAGAGGGAGCAGTATTGAGGCCACAGTGTGGAAAGAATCATTTAAACAAATATTTTTGATAGCATGATCTCTGTTTTGATATTTATTTCTTGCTACTTCTTTTAAAGAAATAAGCCATGGGAACTATAGTCACACATTTCATTTACTTTGGCTCCCAGCCATCTGTATTCACTTGGAAAGAGGACCGTTATAAGAGCAGGATACTGGGAATTCTGGATGGCACTGATATTAAGGAAGCATCTATATAGAATTATTAATTCATTACTAACATATCGGTCTGGTGTACATTCACTTTCCATTCACATGTAATTCTATTTTCTAATAGAGGGTCTTCTAATAGAAGCTGATGGAGAAGATAATTTATTGTGATATTTTTCTCCTTTGCCAATGATTAGAATTATATATTGGATATAACCATAAAGTGGTGAACCCTAGTTTATTAAATAATGCACAGCTGACTGGATTTTTGCATCATAGCAAACTATAAATCAAGGGTTAAAGAGACAAAGTCTCTTTGCACATGTTGAACCAAGATCAAATAAAACACATTATTATATAAACAGATCTGTGAATATGTTTGCTGTCTAGTCTAGAAAATACAACCGACTCTGGGCTGCCTTGAGGACACTTGGAAGGCCGGGACACTCTTTTAAACAATTAAAAGAGTAGCCTGTGAAATGGGCAAGAAACTAAGCCAAGGGCATTGGTGAGCTTTTCAATGGGCCATTGTATCACTGGAATATCACTGTCTTTCTAGGACCCTAGTTGCACGCAAACAAAGAGGAAGATGCAGATGCAGTTATTCTGATTCATGCACCAGAATACTGCTTAATAAGACTTAAATTGGCTACACCCTCTTTATCCCTCTCCAATATTATACAATGTACTCTTAATTCATAATTCAATCATTACATTTAGTCTCTTTTTTATCATATAATGTAGAAAATGGTTATCTTCAGGTTATGTCTCTTTTTTTCATTTATGAAATCCTTGTGCTGTCATAATAAGCCACATGGGCTTGCCAGAAGACAAAGAGAAAAAAACATGATTTTTCCACCACATTGTGACCTCTGCAAAACTTTGTAAGGAACAACTTGGAATCTAATTCCATGGAAGATAAGGTTCTCAATGGCTACCAATCAGTCAGGGCAATGGCCTAGGTCAGTGGTGGCGAAACGTTTAGAGACCGAGTGCCCAAACTGCAACCCAAAACCCACTTATGTATCGCCAGGTGCCAGGTGGGCGTGCCCCACTGGGTGGGCGTGGCTGTGGTGGTCATGGCACTGGGTGGATGTGGCCAAGGTAGGCATGGTCACCTTGATGTTGCTCGTGGGAAGGGACACCTATGGGGGCCAGGCAGGGTTGGGGGAGATCCAGGGGGTCTCTTGCAGGTGGGGCTGTGGGTAGGAGGCTCATCCTGTGGGCTGAGACAAGGTGAGGCAGGGTGGGGGTGCCATTGTCTCAGGGCAAGGTGAGACAGGGGCCAGGGCGGCTACTGCCTGACACCATCGGCCCCCACGCACAGAAGCCAGCCAGCGCATGGGGGCTGACAGTGTCCGTCAGCAGCCACAGCCTGCCAGCCCCTCGACCAGCACACTCTGGGGCTCCGCAGCCCACCACCAACAGTTCAGAGAAGCCGCCTCTGAGTTGGACGGACGGCCGACAGCTGAGGAGGCGATTTAGTGGGTCGTGCCCGGGAAAAGGAGAGCATGTGAGGCCAGGAGGGATGGAAAGGGGGAGGGAAACCAGCCATGCTGGGATGCATGCGGCCACGTGGGACCTCGGTGAGTTAGTGGGCAGCTGGTTGAAGAGGGATGGTTACCATCTCTGGGGCATGGCGCGTGTTTCCACAGAGAGGGCTCTGAGTGCCGCCTCTGGCACGCGTGCCATAGGTTCGCCACCACTGGCCTAGGTCCTAGGAAGGACTAAGGCAATCCACATTCAAGTCCATTCTTAGTTAATTAAAGGTAACTAGTAACTTTAGAGCCAATTACTATCTCTTAGCCCACCCTGCTTCACAAGATGCTGTTGTTAGGGGTCAGAATTAAGACAGATCACCAGTAAAAAAAATGCCTTGACCTTAGGAGGAAGGGCAGCAAGTCTAAGAAACAAATAAGCAATAGTGATCTACATTCCTTCTATCCTGTGTGTGGACTTCCTATACAGCAGCTGTTGGCTTCTGTGCATGGAATGGGACAGCCAGTTTCAAAACTAAAACTGTTGCCAGAAGTAAGGGCAGATGAAGTGGAGGGAAATTCCTTTCCTTTCCAACAGACCTGCTGGACATCAGTTTGGAGAAGATAAAAGTAAACACAGCATTGTTCCAGAACGGAACCCCCCCCCCAAAAAAAATCACAGTTCGACCATCGTTGATTGGCAGGAAGAAACAACCCAACACAGAGCACAAGCTTTGGCGCTCTCCAGAACTCCTGGACTGCTTTTCCTATCGTCTAATAATTCCACGAATTGATCTGGAAGACGACCAAGCTGGTATTTTTTTGGGCGCTTTAGCCTAAAGAAAACAGTGGAAGGTGGAGAAGGCAGATTCGGGGCAGTGCTGCAAATTAGTCGCCTCTCCGCCCAGCCCCGCAGACACACCAACAACTCGCCGCTCCATTGCCTGGAAAAGGCGGCGACAAGATTTCCTGAGAGTCACCCGCAGGTTAGGAAGAGGCAGCGGCAACTTTGAACGCCCTCTCGAACTCCCCCCCTCCTCCTCCCACCGTTCCCGCTATCCTCTTAAGGAGCTGCCGCTGCGCTGCGCTGCCCAGACAGGCAAGAGAAGCGGCAGCGTGTCGCAGCTCGTCTAGTTTCGGCAACGAGGGGCTGCAAAAAGCCGATTAATGATGAATCCACCCTGCCTAGACAGGAGGACTTGATCCGCGGGAGCAGCGAGGAATCCGAGAAGATGCCCCAAGGGCCCTCGGAGGCCGATCCACGTCCCTTCCCGAGAGCGCCAACCTTTCAACGCCGCCCCACCTCCAGGACCTTCTTCCGTGGGAAGCAGGCAGCAGGCAGCCCCTCTCCGCCTCCGACCCGAAAGGCTCTCCTCGGAACTCCCTAACCCGCCGCTCAGGCTTGGAAAGGAAGGGGACCACCGCTCGAAAGGGCTCTCCGGGAACTCGGCCGGGTCGCCAGATCCTTGCGAGCGGCGCCGCCAACCCCTCTCTGAGCTGGGCGTCCCGCGGTTCTGCCCCCTCGGTCACCAAGCGAGTCCCGCTCCGGAGGTAGCGAGGTGGCTGCTCCGGCCTCCCATTGGCTGCTGGGCGCCTGACGCGCGGGCCGCGGGGCGGTGTCCTGGACGCCGGAGCCCGCCAGAGGAGCGCTCACAAACATGCTGCAGCCTCGAAGCGAGTCGGTCGCCGTTCCGACGGCGCTGGCGTGGAGACGGATCCGCTTCGCCTTCATGCCTCCCGCCTGGATGCCCTAAGCTGACCCTTGCCTCGCTGCACAGCCATGGGAGAGAGATGGCCCTTAGAGGATCACCTTCGCAACCGATCGAACTTGACGGCTCAGGCTGGCCTGAGACCCCTCAACGCCTCCACGGACGTGGGTCTACCTGGCAGCTGGAAAACGGAGTTGTCCCAGCAGTGGCTGGTGGGCATGAGCCTCCTGATGTCTTTGATGGTGACCTTCATTGTTGTGGGCAATGGTCTGGTGATTGCGGCCATTGGGAGGACGCAACGGCTGCAAACCCTCACCAACGTCTTCATCACCTCCCTGGCTTGTGCTGACTTGGTGATGGGCTCCGTGGTGGTATCCTTTGGTGCCACCCTAGTAGTGCGAGGCTCTTGGCTCTGGGGCTCCTTCCTATGTGAATGCTGGATTTCAGTGGATGTCTTGTGCGTGACAGCAAGCATAGAGACCTTGTGCGTCATTGCAATTGACCGTTATTTGGCCATTACTTCGCCCTTCCGCTACCAAAGCCTCATGACGAAGAGACGTGCCAAGATCATTGTCTGTGTTGTCTGGGCCATTTCTGCCTTGGTGTCCTTCTTGCCCATCATGATGCATTGGTGGAGAGACAAAGGCCTTGAGGCTCAGGACTGCTACAATGACCCCAGCTGCTGTGACTTTGTCACCAACAGGGCATATGCTATTGCATCCTCTGTCATCTCCTTCTACATCCCTCTTTTTGTTATGATTTTTGTCTACATTAGAGTCTACAGAGAAGCCAAGGAGCAGATGAAGAAGATTGATAGGTGTGAGGGCAGATTCTACAATAATCATCAGCAGCACCAGCATCCAGTCCACCAGCACCTGCCTATCTTGGGTAATGGCCAAACTAATAGACGAAAAACATCCCGGATTCTAGCTATAAGGGAACAAAAAGCTCTTAAGACTTTGGGCATCATCATGGGGGTTTTTACTCTCTGTTGGCTACCATTTTTCTTGGTCAATATAGTCAAAGTCTTTAATAGAGGTCTTGTACCAGACCAGCTCTTTGTATTCTTCAACTGGTTGGGTTATGCCAACTCTGCCTTCAATCCCATCATTTACTGCAGGAGTCCTGATTTTCGTAAGGCCTTCAAAAGGATGTTGTGTTGTCCTAGAAAAGCAGACAGGAGGTTGCATGCCAGCACTGGAGAGCTCTCTCATTACCCTGGAGGTTTCATCAGTACCCTGGGAAATACGGCTCCATGCACTCTTGGAGGGACATGGTCTGATTACAATGGTGGTATGCAGGATGGAAGTGACTCCAGCTTGGAGGAAGGGAACAGTAAAATCTCCTATTCAGAGTCCAAGGTATAAAGGGCATGTGGTGAGTGGGATAAAAGAAATGGGAAGTTATGTTGCATACTACGGAGCAAGAAAGGGAGCCAAAACAATAGATAGGACAGGGGGGGGATCTTAAAGGAATACCTCGTGAGGTGTTCTGGCTAATACTCAAAACTCCAGACTGACTTTTCTCAGTTGGATGAAGATATTATTTACCTGATGTACAAAGCAGGTGAACTTATATACAGTATACCTCTTATCCAAATTGAAGGAAAAGAAGAGTGACTGACCACTGAAAAAAAAGAAAACTATTTGTTTTCCAAGTCATCTGGATTATTATTTTTGGATTGCATGCTGCAAAGGTGGCAGTGGGCAGTTTAGGTAAGTAGGGAGTGGTGTGCCAGGAAAGGAACAAAAGCAAGTTGCAAGGAATTTGTAAAAGAAATATTTCAGGAAAAGTTGAATTTGTAGCAAGGGTTCAGCCTCACAGTAATGGAAAAGCAAGGCAGGGCTCTCCTGATACTGAAGGAAATAGGAAGAAGCCCTTGGCTGACAGTTTAATTTTAGAGCTAGAGATAACGCCCTTAGTTGTTTTTACTATTATTGGGTGTGTCAGTAGCACAAGTAGCCTTTTTTTTTTGTTTGCTTTTAATTTATTCGATCCTTGAAAGGAAAAGGAAAAGTGCTGGCCACCTGTTTATCTTTCCTGAGATCGGTGTGAATTTCAGGCAGGAAACAACTTTAGAAACCATGCTTAAAGTCTCTTTGGAATAAGCCATTGAAACATTTTCTAATGTGTTTTGTTATGCAGTCTGATCATCCGATGCATGTTCAGTCGGAAGCGAGTTTGATGAAACTTGTTCCCATATACAGTAAGTGCTCATTAGCTTGTAGCCTTGAAAACCTACATGCTCCTTAATATCCAAGAAGGAAGATCCATCAGAAATACTGCAAATGGGGAGTATTTTGTTTTGATCCAATTTCTCTCGGGTTTGGTCCTTTCGCCCAGTGATGTCAGGGGTGAGGGGATATCACGTTTCTTATCATATGAGACATCAGCAGTAAGGCTATAAAACATCTACCTCAAGCTGTGCATATTGTACAGGGAAAATGTGTTTATATTAAACAGCTTATTGATGTATTGCTAGTTAAGGGTTTTTAAAATAAAAATAAAAAAAGAGTCAGGAGTATCTCAATAGACAAATTGTTCACATTGAAAAATGAAAGAGAAAAATTGGCTTACAAGCACCAGAAATATGACTGCACATTTGAAAAGACTGAGAGGGGGTTTTTTTTCTTTTGCACAGTATTAACAAAGTTCTCTCTGTAAGTCTTTCTCTCTCACACGCACACACAAACACACACATTCGTATAGACGAACCCACTGGAAAACAAAGTAGACTTGATTTCTATTGCTGGCTGATTTTTTTTAATAACAATTTTATGTGGTTTAACAAAGGTACTGTAAGTATATTCATACCCAAGAATTTCTATTAGTAACTTCTCTGACTCCCAGAAAATCATGTGAACCTTTTGTGAATTTAGTGCTTCATTGTCTTTCTCCATTTTTTACTTCTGTGCATTTGTGTGTGTGTATGCGAGGGACTGTATGCACATGCATTTTATATTGTATTTATATTCTGTGGGTGCCGTTTACTACTGTATGTCATTGGTCTACGTGCAATAAAAAACACCGCAGTACAAACAAGTGTATTTACAATGTGTCTTTAAAAGTGCAGGAATTATATCCATTTTTGATTAAAAACAGTGAGTGTTTTTCTGGAAATATAGATCACGTTACCAATACAGTTCAACTTAATGGCTTTTCCTGACATAATTGTCTTTTAAAAAAATATGCTTGCTGTACCAAATAAGGCAGCATTCCTGTTAGACTGAAGACTGTTGACTTCTCCTGAAATTCCAGGGCGAAAAGCAAATCATTTCCAGCTTGCCTATAAATACATTAGCTACTTTTTTATCAGGTTCCTATTATCAATTTAATTTAGCCTGATAATAAAAAAAACTGAATGAGATGGCTGGAGATGGTGCATAAACAGTGTTGATTTCATTCGAGAACTATTAGGAAGGAGAGATTAACTGTGCTTTGAGACGCACAGGTCATACATTGTTTGCGTACAATAAATCATACAGATGTCTGGATATACCTGAGCTACATGATAATCCATAATAAGATTTTAAATCAGTCCAGAATAAGGACTTTTCTAACTGCTTTACTGCACTGCCCCTTTTGAAAAGTTGAAGTACCACAGAACAGAAATCACCATTAAAATAGGAAGCAAATCAGTTGAGAAAGGCAATCAAACTCTAATTATTATGAAGTTTCTTAATTTATTGCCACTTGCTTATCTATTTTTAAGTAGGAGCTGGTGATAATTAGAGAGTGTTATTTAACCTTAGAAACTGTCTCCTTAAAGATGCATTCATTGCCATCAAAATTTCAAATTCACTAGAGAGTGAATGCCAGTTTTACTAGCAATATCCTCACTGTGTTTAAGGAACATTTTGAATAGACTAGTTTGATTATCTCTCAATTTCAGATATCTATTCATTGATCCTATTCCTGACAGGACTTCTCCAGTGTCATTAACAGTAAAACAGCAGAAACTCAAATGAAATTTTATACTACTGTAGAACATTGCCACCTAAATGGTCTCATGGCTGTTAACCTTCAAGAGAAAATACTTCCAGAGATAAGAAATAGGAGCTGGCCTATCATCAGCTGATTGCTGCCTTGAATTCATGATCTAGAGTAGTGGTGGCGAACCTATGGCACGGGTGCCAGAGGCGGCACTCAGAGCCCTCTCTGTGGGCACCTGCGCCGTCGCCCCAGTCCTAGGCCTTCAGCTGGGTTTTATAAAACCTTTTCGCTTTAGGTCTCCACCGCCATGTGCAAAAAAAAAAAAGGTTCAATCAGTCAATTTCAACTTCTCGCTGGGAAAAAAAAGATCTTGCAAAGTTGGAATTGATTGATTGAACTTTTTAGTCCCATCCAGTCTGCCGTTACCACCGCAGCCACGCCCACCCAATGGGCCACACCCACCTGGCACCCGACGATGCATAAGTGGGTTTTGGGTTGCAGTTTGGGCACTCGGTCTCTAAAAGGTTCGCCATCACTGATCTAGAGTAATCTGTTGAGATCTAGACAATGTTGAATACGTTTCACTAAAATTATACAGTATACCAGTCAGGGTAAAATAATTGCTTGTGCTTTTTAACTATGATTGGGTTACACTTTGAAAGATAGGTAAAATAAATGTTGGATCAATAATGCAGTTTGTTTTAAAAAGCAGAATGGTGCCTAATGCATTCTTTTAAATTAGCCTTCTCCAGACCTCTACTCTCTAGTAGCATTGGGATAAGAATTCCCAGAATTCCCAATCAGCAGAGCCAACTAGAATTCTGACTGAAAATTCTAGAATTTGTCATGACAGCATACTTGAAAATCATTGGTGTATAGAAGGCTGACTTAAAAGATCTTCACACAGTGCTTATAGATGATATTGTAGACACTGCTGTGAGTTGACAATATTATTATTAGAGATGTCATTGGTGCTGTCCTCTTCTTATAACAGATGGCCCTTGGTTCCATTTTTTGTTGGTTCCATTTTGATCTTGATTTTCCTCTGGATAGCCTTAAGTATTCTTAAATATTCCATTATACTAGGAACACAATGTGCTATGCATTAAGTTGTGTTATAGCTCTGAGTTTTGTACCATGGCGTTATCATGGGTTTATATGTTGCTTTCAGTTTCATTCAATACTGAAATTAAAATATAGGGGGGGAGGAAATTGATAGAATGAAATGATTTTGATTGATAATAATGGACCGTGAAAGAAAGAGAGAAGATTATTGTCAACATGTTCAAAAATGCCTTTTTCTCTGACTGAAGGATGGTATGTCAGCTCCATGTACTATATCAGGTTGTGAAGGAAACAGTCTATAGGGTATAATGTTCATTACTTGCCTTGGACTATTTTAAATGAACTAAATAATCTGACCTTTACTCAGCAGTGGCTGAGTACCACAGTGCCGTGAATAAAGCTTAACACGTATAAAAGCTTGGCCCTGGAATATGTGTTCATTGCCAGGCTGGAGTCACTTGTGTGGACTACAAAGTTTAGGACACTCTGATATTCACACAACACTTAAAGGCAAATACACAGAGTTGGTCCAGAGAAATAGGGTTTGGTAACTATGGAGATTGCACTGGCAAAATGCCAATGAAGCCTGTTTTTTTGCTGATATATAGAACGTGATTAATGATAATAAAAGCTTTTCCAGTCATTTCATGTACTTTGATAAGAAGTAATACAAATCTGCATACATTTGATACATCTATTGAAATTTACACCCCCAGATTTACTATAGATGACATGGCCCAAAATAAAGTCTTTGCACACTGAGGAGCCTTCCATCCTTTTCAAGTATAGAGGCACATTGGCTAAAGTATTCAGTTCAACCTTTGAGGGTCAAATAATTAATGTTTATAAAATTGTTGTGAGGGGTAAAATTCCAAGAAAACAAAATTGCTCATTTTTTATTGCTGGGTGGACATGTTAGTTATGCTGAAGCTTGAGTTTGGAGCTGTTGATGCCCAGGGTCTAATAGTTCCACAAGATATGATTTGACGACCAATTTTTCTACCCATTGGAGGCTTTCATCTTAAATTGCTACAGCCTTTTCGAATTGAGAACAGCATTTTGGGATGACCACCATATATAGAAAGCTAAAAGGCCACTGTGCATGAGTGTAAGAATATCTCATCTCCCTACATTTAGACGGATGGTTGTAATGTCATTTCCATTGCAGAAAGCTCTGAAAAGAATATAATATAGGTAAGGAATTATTGTCTTCAGATAATATTTCTGTACTTCTGCATTTATGTATCTGAAGTACATAAAAATAAAAATTCATTTATAATCAGATACTGTTCCTACCAAAATAAAGTTTTTTCTACAGTTATGTGGGTTCTCTGCTTGTTTACATGTGGTGCTTCTTTGCACTATATTAACACCGTTTTTAACAGCAAATTCAGCTGTCCAGGAAGGGAGTATGACACAAATCTCCAACATAATCACGGAACACACATGAAGAAATGCATTTTGTTGGAAGTTGTATCAGAAATTTATTGCTTTCTGAATAGAAACAGGGGAAGTTGCTTATCCCAGGGGTGTATCTACTGACTCTCCATTGTTTTAGACCTGATGATGTCTGAAATTCAATAAGGACTTTTCAACCAAGCTAAATTCTTGAAGGTCCTTGTGTGTATTTTGTAGTTAGGCTTTTTCCTTGATATGAGAATTTTTCACATACAGGTGATATGGAAATATTTCCATATAAGTAATGTTCCATGTTTGCACTGACTCATTAAGCATAGTTTGATGTTTAGCTTATATGCTTCAAGTCAACAGAAATGCTGAACATCAAGTGGCCTGAACTAGATGCGTTTCATTTTGCCCTAATGTCCTACATATCTATTGTGTAATATTTTCTTCCTCACAGCACTGCAGAGATGATGCTTAATCAGAAAAGTCATTATTCAAGGCAGCTGTTAACCTCTTTACAACATCACTTAACATTATATGCTTTCCTTCCTCTTCCCTTTGCTTAAATACTTTACATGGAATTTGCTTATCATCAATTTGAGAAGAAGGAAATGAGAAAGCATCAGAAACTAATTTCCACGCCTCCATTATGGAGTCTGTAAAAGGATGGCCTTGTATTTGTTTAAATATGCCCAATATGAACAACACTGGGTGAAGGTAGGTCACTTGTCATTTAAGTAAAATATGTGCCTTGCTGTGATGGAGAATTATTTAAATCAGCATTGGGGAATTTGTGGTTCTGCAGTCATTGTTGAACTATAATTTCCAGCAATCTCATGCAGCATGCTGGGAATTTGTAAGTCAGGGACACCTACAAGACCATTAAATGTCCCAACTTTGCTGCTGCTTTTGCCTGTAATTCCCCAATACTAAACCTAAATTCTTGAAAGTTTACATTTGGTTTATTAAGTTTCCAAATGACTCATGAATATTAAGACTTCAGTCTATTAAGGAGAATTTAGTCAGTTAAATATATGAGTTCCATTGCATTAATTGATTAATGGAGCAATCCAATAAATGTAACGTAGGAATGGAATATAGTATGGCATGGAAAGTCTTTACTTTGAACTGGAAGGCTTTTTATATACTTATGTCACGTTGGAGTAAATCTCATTGAATACAATCCAGGCTCAGTCTAGGGCTTTTTTTTAAACATGGTATTCAATTACTCAAGTTCACTTCTTAATAAAATCATTTTAATTTATCAAATACAAGACCTTGCTCTAGTAAATACAAGTCTTGTGTTCCAACTATTAACAGAGAATTTCACTCATGGAGAAAGTATATTGATGGCAAGAAATAATTCTGTTTTGTTTTTTTTTTTATTTTTGGGAATCTCTGATTTTGTTGAATATAAATTTGTGTACAATTTAAAAATGGTGAAATGAATACAAAATTTGGGAAAGTGTGAATATGAGTATGCATTTGCCATTTGATTCGCCCATATTCTGGAATGGTTTATTCATGTGAACATATACTGTTAATTTCTCATCCATAATAATGTACAATATCTATTTGCATGGACAGTTTCCCAGCCAGTTAACAAAATAATTTGCATCCAAACTAATAATGCATTAATTAGAGTTATATAATCTATTGT